AGATTGGCTGAGTTCCTTAAAAGCCTTGCTTTAAAAAAAAAAAAAAAAAAAAAAAACGCAAGAGGGTTCACTTTGGCTCTCCCAAGGAGTAATAAGCCTGTGTCTTTTCAAATAAACCCTTTACTGTGATGCTACCAAAACCAAACACCTTGGGTTAGAAATCTGTATGGGGATACACTTTGATCAAAACCGGATCTGTCTTGTGCCTCACAAGTTTTAAATGTAGGGTTCACTTCAATGTTCCTTTCCATCTGGAAATGCATGATTTCATTTTAAGGAAAAAGAAAACAATCACTTTAATAAAAATCTTTATGAACAAGGTTCAGAAGGCTTCTTGGACAACAAATGGCTCTTACAAAACAACATGGTGGTGAGTTAAGTGTAAATGGCTCAGAAACATGCAGATTAAATTTCCCTGGAAACACTCATGGGCTTCCAAAATTAATGGGGAAAAATACTTGGGCAATGTATATTTCAGACTTCATGCTTTTTCTCCTCTTTCTCGTTCTGTTGATTTTATTTTCTTCTACAAAACACTTTCTAGGGTGACTTCATCTCTTGTGGTCAGGATGCTGTCAGGCCAAATTGTCATTAATCCTGGTGCATTCTGGGTGGCCCACTCTGGGTATCAGCTGTGTTCCCTCTCTTACAGAGTTCACTTTTCTCTCTACTATTTGTCTTTCAATATAGGAAAGGTATAAAAATAAAAACACAATTTCAAGTCTGTGCCAAGCTTTTAGGCCTTGTGAAAGTCCACTGTCATGACACTGGAGAGATAAATGTGTGAGGTTCTTGTGTGCTGAAAACTGATAAATCTTCTGTGCTTTAACTCAGAAGATACCACTACGGATATAGATGTGGTAGAGGGATCCATAAATCAAGATTTGAAGATACTTAGGAGGGACTTTTAAAAGGCCCTCTAACCCATTCCCAAGCCTGAGACATATCTCAATATAAAACATGACAGAAACATAATTATAGTCTCATTTCTTAAATATTGCCTTAGAAAAGTTTTCTTCAACATACTTTAGAAAAATATTTCTATGTTTCCTCCTGTACAGAAGTTCCCATAAAAAAATGACCAAATTCCATTTTATGGGGATTTATCTTTTCTTTTCCTGTCTTTTGAAGGGAGCGAATTCTGGAACACCAGATTGGTATCCAGGACTCTTTTTGCCCGGGCCTTGTCCAACCTTAGTCAGTGAAGCTTGTCAGGCATTTGTCTTTCAGAAGAGAACAGTGCTGGCAATGCTTATTTTGTGATTTTCCCTATCACATATCCAAGCAGTAACATCTCCAGAGTTGCGAGAATGTGTTTAAGTCCTTTCCATCTCCAGACAACATACAAAAAGGAAAAGCAATTCTCCTTATTTAATGAGTACGTAAGTAACGAAAAAAAATGTGGAGCTGCCTCCTAGAGCTTAGAGTTTAGTTGGGGTTACAGAAGTCACATACTCGGGTATGTGAGGGTGATTAGCAGACCCTCTCTCCAAAGGCAACTGTGAAGCTGGACAAAACTGATAGAAGCAACTACTTCTGGAACTGAGCCAAAAGCATGCAACAATCAGCAGATCCTTCATGCTTGACACAGTGCTGAAGTTCAAGCAAGAACAGTGAGAGTCTGTAATTCCTTGCCTAGGGCTGTACCCATTCCACCCCACACAGGGGCCCAGCTCCATCTGCCTGCAGAATTTGGCCTTCGGGCAGGCCAAGAAAACATTCAGCTTTATTGTCAAGGTTGAAGGGGTGTCATTTGATTATGAATAGTGGGCAACGACTATGCTAAGCGTGGTGGGAGTGTTAAGGTAGGCAGCCAGAGGGCCTGTGTCTCTTGTAGCCTGAAGTTACTCTTGTGGTTATATAAAGCCATAAGCAGAACACAGTATGGTTCGTTTTCGAGCATATCTAGATGCAGTATATATGACAATCATAATACAAATGAGGAGAAAAGGAATGTGTTTATTGACGTCTCTACATCTTACCAGATTGACTCATATTGACCTATGAATTCTATTGTGGTAAATTAAAATGTACATTGTAATCTTTAAAATAGTCACTAGTATAAAATAGTATTAGAATAAAAATCATCGGAGAAATTTAAATGATACACTAAAAGTATTTTTTAACACTAAAGGTATTAACAGTAAAGAAGGTAGCAGAGGTGGCTCAGTATGTTGAGTGTCCAACTTCAGCTCGGGTCATGATCTGTGGTTCGTGAGTTTGAGCCCTGCGATGGGCTCTGTGCTGTTAGTGCAGAGCCTGCTTTGGATCCTCTGTCCCCCACTCTCTCTGCCCCTCCCCCACTTATGCTCTCTCAAAAAATAAATAAACATTAAAAAAGTAAAAAAAAAAAAAAAAAAAAAAAAAAAAAAAAAGAGGAGCAGAGGGCCAAAAATATAAGAAACATAGAAAACCAATAGCAAAATGGCAGGTATAAATCCAATGATATCAATAATTACATTAAATGTGAAAGGTCTAAATGCCCTGATCAAAAGGAAGAGATTATCAGAATGGATCAAAAAAGCAAAATCCAACTATATTTTCTGACTACAAGAATACATTTTGGATTCAAAGACAGAAATAGGTTGAAAGTAAAAGATGGGGAATGATATAGCAGGTAAATAGTAACCATGAAAGAGCTAAAGTGATCATTTAACATTAGACAAAACTGAGTCTAAGACGAGAATTACTACTAGAGGCAAAGAGGGACGTTTTATAATGGTAGAAATGCCAATATATCAAGAATATCTAACAATTATAAATACATGCATATCTAACAACAGAACCTCAAAACAAACGAGGCAAAACTAGTGAGAATTGAAATAATTGATGATTTACTAGTAGCTGGAAATTTCAATACCTTACTTTTCAAAATTGAAAGAACAATTCCACAATCAATCATACATGGAAGAGTTGTGCGGCAAGACTAGCACCTAACTTTTTTTTTTTTTTTAATTTTTTTTTCAACGTTTATTTATTTTTGGGACAGAGAGAGACAGAGCATGAACGGGGAGGGTGAGAGAGGGAGACGCAGAATCGGAAACAGGTTTCCAGGTTTCGAGCCATCACCAGAGTTTGATGGGGTTTCCCGAACTCATCAGGGACCGCGAGATCGCGGGACCGCTGGAAGTCGACGACTTAACTCCCATCATGCCACCCAGGCGCCCCGAAGCAACTCAACTTCTGATTTAAGAGCACTCTACCCAGAATATTCTACTCTGTGTTTTGCAAAATACACATTTTTTCAAGAAACTGATGTGATATGAATGTAGAAAGTCTTCAGGAATCCACAAAAATACTAGAATTAATCTATGAGTTATATATATATACAAAAAGTATTCCTATACATCAGCAATAAACAGTTTGAAATAAAAGTAGCGAAACAATTTGATACTTAATAAAAAATCCAATATGGTTAAGATGGCAATTCACCCCAAATTGGTGTATAAAGTCAATACAATCTCTATCAAAATACCAGCAGACATTTTTGTAAAAATTAAAAAAAAAAAATTCTTAAAGTTTATATGTAAATACAAAGGATCTAGATAGCTAAAACAAATTTTGACAAGAACAAAATTGGAGGCATTCCTCTACCTGATTTCAAAACTTACTATAGCATCAGAGTAACAAAAACAGTGTGGTATTTTGCTGGGATAAATACTTAATAGATCCATGGCACAGAACTGAGACTCCAGAAGGAACCCATTTTATTAAAGGATGATTGATTTTCAACAAAGATGCCAAGACAATCAGTGGGGAGAAAATGGTCTTTTCAACACTAGTGCTGGAACAATTGGATTCTCCCTGTAAAAACCTGAATTTAGAGCTTTACTTCACACCATGCAAAGTGGATTATAGACCAAAGAATAAGGGCTAAAAGTATACCATTTCTTCAAGAAAATATTGGAGAAAATCTCTGTGATCTTGAATAGGCAAAGAATTCGTAAATATGACCCCCAAAGCATGATCCATAAAAAAAAAATGATAAATTAATCTTTATCCAAATTTAAAATGTTTGTGTCACAACAGACGCTTTTAAACTAATGGAAAGATAAGTCACAGACAGGAAGAAAATGTTTGCAAGTCATAGTTTTAGTGAAGTACCAGAATCTATAATATATAAAGAACTCTTATGACTCAATGACAAGAAGGCAATCAAACTGATATAAAAGTGGGTAAAAGATTCAAATAGGCATTTTACCAATGAAGATACTAAAACTGCTAATAATTACTTTGAATTAAACAAAAATGTTCAACACCGTTGGCTCTAAGAGAAAAACAAATGAAAACCATAATGATATTCTTGTGAGTATCTACTAGAATGTCTATGAAGTGAAGGACAGACGATACTGACAATCAGTCATGTGTCGCTGATGGGCATATAAAATGGCACATTCACTTTGGAAAACAGTCTGGTAGGCTTTCAGAAAGTTAAACATGACTTTATATGACTCAGCAATTTCCCTGCTAGAAATCCATTCCGGGCAGGGGTGGGGGAGGTGGGGGTGGGTGGAACCTGTTCATACAAAGGTATGTATGTGAGTGTTCGCAGCAAAAAGTAGAAACAATTCAAATGTCCATCAAGTGATGAGTGGATTAAAAGCGGTGTATCCATATAAGGCAGTACTATTTAGCAATAACAAGGAAATAACAACCATACGGATTCACATTACAGCTTGAATAAACCTCAATCACATTATACTGAGTTAAAGAGGCCATAAATAACTACATATGTATGATGCCATATCTATGAAATCTCCAGAAAAGGCAAATTTATAGAGCCCGGAAGCAGATCATTGGTTGCCTGGGGCTGAGGGTGTTGTGAGAATAAACTACAAATAGACGTGAGTGTACTTTTTGGAGTTTGGGGGAATATTCTAAAACTGGATTGTGGAATTGGTTGTACAACTCTGTAAAATCCGAGTGGAAAATCATTGAATCGGATATTTAGAATGAGTGAATTTAATACGTAAAGCTATTAACTAAAAAGCTGCTTGTGGTTGCTTCAGCAGCACATGTACTAAAACTGGAACGATAAAGAGAAGACTGGCATGGTCCCTGAGAAAGGATGGCAGGCAAATTTGTGAAGCATTCTATACTCTCTAAGGCACAGCTTAATAAACCTACCAAAAAAACCCCACACAGTTTGATTGTATGTATACCATTTACCAGACTCAGTCCTCAGCACTGGCGATAGAGGGGACTAAGTCAGACACGATACCTGCCTCTACGGGGCTTATAGGTAGTAAGAGTCTTTAATGATTATAAGCAGGTTGGCATTGCCAGCTTTTGAAGTGCCAGGAAAGAAAAAAACCCCGAATTATGTTAAGTATACTATATTCCCCCCAAATCCCTAATTCCATGGAACTTCCATTGTAAGGGGATTTGGGGAAGATGAGAATAAGGACCTAAACACATAAATATATAACATTTTAGGAGGTGATAAATGCTGCTAATAAAATAAGTCCAAGAAAAGAAATAAAAATGCTGAAGGAAGAGGAAGAGGTATTATTTTATGTAGAATGGGAGTGGAAGGCCTCCTGGATAGGGTAACCTTTGGCAGGACACCTGGGAGAACGGGAGACAGAGAGCCATGCCAATGTCTGGAGCAAACGGCATTCCAGGCGAAGGGAGCTGAGTCAGGGATGTGTGGCCTTTCTGAGGACTGGCAAGGAGGCCAGTGCGGTTGGACCAGACTGAGTGGAAAGCATAAGAGATGAAGTTAGAGGGAGCTGGGCCGGATCGGTTAGGGCCTGAAACACATTGTATGACTTTAAATTTTCTTCTGAGTGAGCTTACGGGCCACGGAAGGTTTTGAGCAGAGCAGCGAAATGATCTAACAGGTTCTAACGGTTTACGCAGTGACTGGTGGAGAACAGCCTACGGACTGCAAGGTGGGAGGCAAGGCCCGCCATTTGGAGGCTATTTGCAGGCATGTGGGGAGAGAGACGGCAACAGTTCAAATCAGGGTGAGAGGATAAGGAGAAGCCCTGGGATACGGTGACTAGGGAGGCCACAGTGTTCGCTGTTGGATTGGATGACAGGTGTGGGAGAAAGAGGAGAGTCAAGGATAATCCCAAGGTTTCTGCCTGGAGAAACTGGACCATGTTATGAAAACAGACGTCCTTAGGATGGGTAACAACTTAGCCTAGTACTGCGAGTAAGGCCACACAGTGTTAATTGCTAAGATCCAGATGGAATAGGACAGCAGAATGAGCTCTCTCTGTACCGTATTTAAAGCAAATTATGTACAGTGGTTAATTACTCAGGAAACAGTAAAGCCAACCTTCAAATTCCTGACGTCTTAAAGATGGCGGTTGTCGTCTGTATTCTATGACCTCTTGAGCACCTTCTCCACCAGATGGCAGCACAGGGGTTCAGAGGCCTTCAGCACACAGCCTCCCTCCTTAATGAATATAAATGCAAAGCATTAGGCCCCTTTTTCAGAGGAGTCGGACTTTTAGTCTCCCTCCTATCTTCCCTCCCCTACGAGGGCAGCCCCTTCCAATAATCAGCCTCCTAGACTATAATAGGAGCTTTTAAAGTTATAATCTCTTGTCACATTACTCAGCAGTCTCATCCAGGCCCAGGAAGTCATTTCCTGGAGGCCTCTTTTTTATTTGTGTTCATTAGCTCCACTAATACATTCTCTTGGAAACCACAGTTTAATAAATTTCATAGCGCATGACCAGTGGACTTAATGAATATTAGTCACTCGAAGCAATTTTTGTTTGTTCAGCTTCTCTTACCTCTCCTCCCTTCCCTCACCCCAGACCTCGCTCTGTGGAATGATAATGATCCACAGAGAGCTGGCTGGCCACAACAGACTAAAAACAAGAAGTAAAAGGATCTTTCTGAGCTCACACCTGTTTTAAGATTTGTTCTCCTTAAAACGAAAAGCTGTAGGGATTCACTCGGCTCCTTCCTTGTAGCTCCCAGTGGACCTTGCTATTAAACCACAGGGAGCAGCCCAGCCTTCAGAGCACTTAAAAGTACTTATGTCAAATCCATCCCATTCTTCCGGCCTCCGCTCCTGAATCCAGCCACCATTCCCAGGGGCTGGAGCACATTACAAGGCATTCACTTCATATGAATGGGCACAAACAGACTTTTTCACCATTTAGATATGTCTACATTTGCAGGCATATCCTGTAGACGGCCTGGAACAGCCTTAATTTCAATTTACTGTCTCCCCAAGGATCTTGCCATTCTCCCGAAAGTGGAAAACTCACTGGTTGTTTCTCCTCCCCGACCTCTCACCCCCAGCCTCTGTCTGCCCTCCTCCTCTTTCAAGGAAAAAAGCAGTACTGGGAGGAATATTTTGCCCAAGATGAATAGAATGAAGTTTTGATGCTTCTAACAGCGCATGTGATCTTTTATTTAAAAAAAAAAAAATAACGAGCACCAGATTATCACATTTGGAAAGCGTTCAAAGTCAGTGCACAAAACCTGGTGAATGCCGTCTTGGGTCCCCCTGGTATATGGCTATACAAGAGAACACAAAATTGTAGTCTTGAAGTTTTACACTGGTGTTTCTGTTGTGCTGGGGCTAACTACACTTCACTGTTTATCTTGGAAATTGTTACATGAATGCGAACGTAGAGCGAATAGTGTAAGGAACCTCTGCGTATCTATCCTGAACTTTCACACTTTTCAACTTTCAACCAATCTTCTATTATCTAATCCTTCTCACACATGTACACGTCTTCTTTACTCAGAGGTTTAAAAGCAAGTACAGATGTTATGTCTTTTTCTCTGTTCTGTATGCACTGCTGACTGATAAGGGCTTTCTCCTTTTATTGTAATCACTATGTCAATATCACACCAAACAAAATTAATGAGAGTTCCTTAAAATCATCTAATACCCAGTCCATATTTATTTTTCCCCGGATTTCCTCAACATGCCTTTTTATTGTTCAGAATCCAAGCCGGGTCCTGTCTTTGCATTAGTTGTTTCACCCCTAAAGCTCCCTTGTTCTACAGCTCATCTTCTCCCTCTCCTTCTCCTTTGTAAATTTTATGCAATAGACTTGTTGCTGATATCCAGATTTGTGTTCTGTAGAGATGTCCCACCCTATCGATTTGACTAATTGCTTCCTTGTGGTGTCATTTCACTTGTTCTGTACTAGTAGGGCTATTGCTGGCCGAGAAAGCTTTGGTGGAGTTCTTCAGACTTAAGGTGACCGAGGACACACCCTTAGGTAGCTAAATGGATTAGACAAGAACTATACCAGCCATCAATCCTCTAGGACCTTTGGATTCCAATCCTTTGATAAATTAATTTTGGATCTCAAACTCCGTCGCAGGTGGATCAGTACTGCTAAAAAGATTTAGGCAACTTCTGAACCAAGTTAATATGAGATTATCAATTTATATTAGCCTCAGTTACAAAAGAAATTCCTTAAGAGCCCCTTGATTGTGACATTTACCTCCGAGAAACCACCGATGAGTTGAAGTGACAATTACATGGTAAAGTAGTGTGCACAGATGAAAGACAACCGAAATAAGTCACACAAAACAAAACTTACTTTCTTTTTCCTATCTGTGTGTAATAAACTGATATTTCAAATTCTATTTGGTTTTCTTTGTGTTCCACTGTATTTAAGAAAATGCTGGTTGTAACCCAGGAAATGAATATTATGACCCACCAATGAGTCAGAGTCCATTGATTGAACTGCTGACTTTAGGAATGACTTGGCTTTTGGAAAAGTTAGAGTCATGGGCCACCTGCTTTAGTGATGCAATTGAGGCACACTTTCTTCAAAGTCTACCTCCATGCCTTTGAGTTCACGTTTGTGGAAGGAACTGAGATGAACGTTTTCAGAAGCCATAAAGAGCAACCTCCTATTTATTTATTTATTTATTTATTTATTTATTTATTTATTTTCTCAGTAGAACCGTTGAGAAACAAGATGGAGGGAGATGCTTGGGGCAAAGTAAGAAGCTCCGTAATTTCAAATGTCTTATTTATAAGGAAGAGGACTAAAGTTTTCTAAGTGGCCTCTACTTGTTGGATGTTATTCCATTTTATCCTATGGAATCCTCGTAAAAATATGATAGACTAGCTTTTACCACCTACAAGTCACATATGACAAAACTTGGTCTCTCTGAGATTAGGTAATGTGGTTGAGATGACAGAGTTAGTAAAATGCATAGACTACTAACCAATTCATAGGGGTCATATCTCCTGGTGATTGGGGACCGAGGTTGGAGCCAGTATTCACTTTGAATCTTTGTTATGTCACTTACTGACTCTGTCAACTAGTAAGTGAGGAATGAATAACATAAATTATGGAAACACTCAGCATCTAATGGGCAAAGATTAAATATATATAATATATATATATACATTTATAAGATACATATTAGAATATACATATATAACATATATATTATATATGTAAATTAAAAATTTTTGTTTCTGGGGGTGCTTGGGTGGCTCAGTCAGTTAAACATCTGACTTTGGCTCGGGTGATGATCTCGCAGTTCATGGGTTTGAGCCCCAGGTCGGAGCCTGCTTCAGATTCTGTCTCCCTCTCTCTCTGCCCCTCCCCTGCTCACGCTCTGTCTCTCCCTCTCAAAAATAAAGGAACGTAATTTTTTTTTTTAATGAAGTGTTCAACTATTCTATAACCAATGATGGATGAGTTGGGACTCATGAGACCTTGACACCATAAGTCACAAAGGCAAGATTCTCTTTCTGAGAATTAAAAAGAAAATTATGAATGCATAGAAATATTTTAAATAAGAGAAAGCCTGAAAAATGAGGAACATTGCTATTTCATGACATTCTCCAGATGAAAAGTGTGAAGCAGTTATGGCTAAACATTTTTATTTGTGGTCCATTTTTTTCCCTTCTCTTTCTTTCTTCCTTTCTCTCCCTCTGCTTCCTCTCTACTTCCTTCTTCTCCTTTTTCTTCCTTCTTTTTGTTAGACATTTCAGACTTGTCAAAGAAGCAATGGGCCTACCAAGTTGAGCAAGACAACTTCAATTATGAAAATTATGATTGGAGAAGTTTTAGCCACCTATCTCTTCTTATCCCATAAGGTAAGTAACTTCCAAATCTGTGGACAGTCTTTCTCTTGATGTCTAGGAAAACCTT